GGATGGAGGTAAAAATCAGATTTGGTTGCCACGTTTTGCTTACACCATTATTGGTGCTAATGGCTTGAGCTCACACATAAAGAACGGGTAGTGAGTGAGCGACTCGACCTCTGGTAGATTGCATGTAAGAAGTGTAAGGCTGGCTCAGTTGGTAAGAATCTATGTCAGAGATATTGGGTTAAAGCCCCATGTGGGGACTTTGAGCTCATCTCGGCTAACCCTCCAGTGCAGAGCTCGGGAGCTTTGGATCTTCAAATGACATGTTAAACATGACACTATTTGAAAAGAGATGGGGGGGGTTCTCCTAGTGTCACAGTCAACACTTCTCCAGATAAATTGGTCATTCACTTCATAATAATAATAATCCTTGCATTTGATATAGCGCTTTTCACGTCGGGAGGACGTCCCAAAGCGCTTCACAGAACACACTGTAAAGTGAATTGACTGTATATTTGTGGGCGAACGCGGCAGCCAATTGCGCACAGCAATGTCCCACAAACAGTCGTGGATTTAAAATGACCAATTTATTATTGTTTTTTTTGGAGTGATTATTATTAGGCTTGTGGAGTAAGGAAACTTGCCCAAGGTTTCACCCTGCCTGGAATTGAACTCAGGTCTCTCGCTTGCAAAGCAAGTGCTCTAACCACCGAGCTACAGGACTCCACAAGGCTTGTTATGGGATATCGTTGTGTGAAAATTGGAAGCTGTGTTCACCTACAATAATAATAATAATAATCCTTGCATATAGACAGGCGGAAACATTTGACATTTGTGAATTACTGTGCAGCTTGAAAATAGGAAGACACTTTCTCGCATCTTAATATGCATCTGCCCAGTGGACCACACAGATGAAAGTACAGGGAGAATCAAAAATAAAAGAGCACTAATAGAAAAACTGTTTTATATAAGTAGCAGTTTATATAGCCCCAGGATCCACTGAATAACACATGCTTAACAGTCAGAACCCAGAAATACAGGAAGGCCATCAGCAATTCTGAACCAATAGCAACTGACAAATTACCAACCTACACTCCTCAACGCCACTGGCTACAACAATTCAACAGTCCAAAAGAAATCACCAAATAAAACTTTAATAAGATCCATCCCTTTGTGTTGCAAACAATGGTCTTTCTACAATCTACAATCAATTCATCTCGCCCATTATTGCTTAAAACTACCCCATCTAGCTAGAGAAAAAGATGACTTGCAATCTTGTAACACCTATAACCTACGTCTCAAAGCACCGCGCAGTAGTTGCTTCACACTAAGCGCTCCTAGACACTACTCTGTGTGAAGGGTACTAGATAAATACAAGTTGTAGTTATTACTCTCAAGTAGAGTAACTGGTCTTGAGGGCAAACAAAGCCAGTTTAGATCACCAGATTCAAACACGGTTTCTAACAAGAGGCGAACACCAATGCCTACTCCTTCTATAGTACATGCTGACCTAGATTTGGAGGTGCTCAAGTCATTAAACTAAACTTGTGAAATATTAACCTAGTCTTCTCCTTCAGATATGAATCAACCTGCTCTGCATTTTCAGGTTTTACTTAAAGATATAAAAATGGTTTAGGCTGGTTTCTCTGAATGGCACAGTGCGTGTTAATTTTTTTTAGTCAGCCAGGTATCTGACACTTCTGGGAACCCATCACCATGCTTAAGAGTATCCAAACAAAACTGAGAATTCTATGCATCTCTCCTACACATGGAAATGCCAGAGATAAATGTTGGAATGCAATGTGCACTCTCTCCCTGGAGGGATACATCCTGCTTACCTAATTCGGGAAAGTATTTAGCCTAGGTTGGCAGGAGCCAAGGCTTGGGGACCCCAGCATGTGTGTTTGGGTACTGCTGGAGTCTAACCTGCTAAAACCGCATACTCCTGGAGTCCTGTAGCTCAGTGGTTAGACCACTCGCCTTGCAAGCGAGACACCTGGGTTCAATTCCAGGCAGGGCAAAACCTTGGGCAAGTTTCCTTACTCCACACGCCTAATAATAATCCCTCCAAAACAAAACAATAATAAATTGGTCATTTTCAATCCACAACTGTTTGTGGGACACTGCTGTGCACAATTGTCTGCTGCGTTTCACCCACAAATATACGGTCAATTCACTTTACAGTCTATTCTGTGAAGCGCTTTAGACGTTGAAAAGATGTGAAAAGCTCTATATTAGCACTTTTCATGTCTTCTCGAGATCTCAAAGCGCTTCAGAGAATAGACTGTAAAGTGAATTGACTGTATATTTGTGGGCGAACGCGGCAGCCAATTGCACACAGCGGTGTCCCACAAACAGTTGTGGATTGAAAATGACCAATTTATTATTGTTTTGGAGGATTATTAGGAGTGTGGAGTAAGGAAACTTGCTGAAGGTTTCGACCTGCCTGGAATTGAACCCAGGTGTCTCGCTCGTAAAGTGAATGCTCTAACCACTGAGCTACAGGTCTCTTTTATGATAGCTTGCTTTCCCGCTGCTTATCCAGCTAGCCTACATGTTAATGCTTTGCTTTGCAGTGTTAACAGGAGCTGAGTGGGATGATTCCATGCCTCCAGTGACTGCTCTGCCCTTCCAGGTCCTGCTAACAAGCAGTCTGTGCTGTCATCAGCAGTGCCCTGCAATACTGCGGACCTGCCTGGCTCAGGAAGCAGACCCCAAAGACCTCCAGAGGGCTGGCTAGGTTCCGACATTCCATCACCAAACACGTCACCCAGTTCAGCTCCAAGGACAACCTGCTTACCTGCCCAGACTTCATGATTCAGTATTCAGTTTTACAAACCAGAACTTCTATGCACACATCCCCATTATCCTCATGACCTCTCCGACCTGCTTACACCCCAACTCACAATCCGCTGCCTCTGCTCGACTGGCTCCGGCCTTCTGCATGTTCCTCCTGGCCTCTGTTCCACCATTGGTGGCCGCGCTTTCAGCCACTACACCCTGAAACTAGGGAACACTGCGGTCACCTACCCCTCCCCATGGCTTGGCGTAGCCCTCCACCACTGTCAAGCACTCTGGAACGCTACCCTGTGCGAGGGGCATTATATAAGTGCAAGTTGTTGTTATGAATTGATGCGGGTATGTTAAGCTTTTATTGTGTCTTAAATACAATTTCTTCCGCACACTTTAAACAACTAGTGAGGTCCACAGTTTTCACCAGAAAGCGGATAAACAAGACAGAAGAGTAGGGAAATTAGAAAACAGGTGTTCCATACCCACGTCTGCAAGGGAAGAGGCAAACAGGAAATAGAGGAGGGGGAATGTACAGACAGAAGTTAGTCATTGCCCTTGGAAAGGGTGGGCAGAACTGGCTCCTGCATAACGAGAAATATTCATCCCACAAGTGTCCAACGACACTGGTAAACACAAGCTGACTCTGTAGTAAGTTTGAGTACAGATCAGCACTAACCTGGGGCAGGCAGTGCGAATGCTGAAAAACACACGGGACGTTGATCTTTATTTCACACCAACAAAATATCAACTGATCGCATTCCTGCATTAAAAGTGTATTCCTGGATCCATGGCAACCTGACGTTACAACATCAAAATGTTTGTACAGAAGGGATAAAACGAGCACTAACTGCCTGGGCCACGTTTCTAAATCCAGTGAATAAAACGAATCTTAACCATTGTTTCACTAAAATGCAAAACAGGAAAACCTGTGGTTACGAATTTAGTATTTAGAGACCCGAATGGGGTTGTGTTAACCTGTGCGATGTTGACCTGTTTGTACCGTTCCTAACGAGTTGGGTGGTGTGGAGCTGTACCCGGTGTTTACCTGCGGGGATACCTTACCTGTCCGTTTAAACGATCTCAGGCGTTTCACACGGTTTGGGAATAAAGTCGGGAGTTTCAAGTTATCCTAAACGGATTTACACAACATCACGACAAAAGGCGAGTGAGTGTGTGTTTCTCCCGATCCCTCCTCCCCCGACAACAGAAAAGAAATGCTGCAGAATCTCTCTCTCTGTGTCTGTGTGTGTGTGTGTGTGAAGCAAATAACCTGTACAGTCAGCGCTCCCACAGCGGGAGAGGGTAACACACAGAGAGAGAGAGAGAGAGAGAGATCTCCAGGTAAGTGCGGGGTCGTGCGATCCCCGACCAACACCTTTGACCACCGTTTCCCAGTTGAGCCTCCGAATAAAATCACCCGCATTCCCCCCCTTTCCCGATCCACTGATAATATACCGGTGAGATCCTGGATGAGGAGGGCTGCGGGCGATGCACTGAGTGAGGTGCGTTTGTCAATTGCAAAAGGCACATGGTGGGGGGGGGGGGGGGCGCTGAGAGTCGCTTCTGAGGTCCCTAAATACAGGGGTGTTGGGGTGGTGTTGAGGTGGATTCCGTGCACTGACCAGGTAAAGAGCAGCTGCAAAAAACAACCCACTGATGGCACCCAACAGCCGCCGCCTCCTCCACACACCATCTCACCGACAGTGTGTGCGTGTGTGGAAGGAACGACGATCGAGAACTCATTTGCAATACAAATCTTTTTGTTGGCGTTGTGTGTGTTCCGTCTACAAAAGCTGAAGCCCCGATCGCTCCTCAGAAAATGGCCGATGAAGAAGTTACCTTTACCTTTCCTGTTTTGCAACCCCCCCCACCCACCCCACCCCCCAAAAAAAACACACACCTACGGGGCCGACCCCCCCCCCCCCCACCCCACCGTCCTCCCCAAATCCGCGCTTTCTAACCTCAACAAATACGACGGTCCAAAAAAAAAAGAGGGTTTTAAAGTCGTTCGAATAAAAGTGTGCGCTTTGGTGGAAAACTTTGCAAAAAAAAGAGAGAGGAGAGAATTGCAATGCAATGCAATGCACTGCTTGGTGGGGGGTGGGGGGGGTGGGGGTGGTGGGGGGTGGGGGGGTCTGTGGGTTAAAATGCACCAGTTTGTGGAGTGGGAATGGGAGGAAGGAAGGGAGGGAGGTGGAGGTGGAGGGAGAAAAACAGGATCGGGAAAGATAAAAGCAACAGAGACAGACAGAACCAGTAAGTTCACTTACTTGTCCGTCTCCTGTGACATATTTGTGCGGCTCTCCCCGGCGCTTCTTCTTGCGAAACTGGACTTTCAAGTCGGTGCGGTGGCTCTGCGCCGCCGAGAGCCCGACCGACAGGTAATTCCTCTTTTGGGGCTGTCTGTAAAACCGGTAGATCAGCGGCCCCTCCAGCACTGTGCCACCTCACAGCTCACTCACTCACTCACTCTCTCACAGTCACTCACTCACTCACCCTCTCTCTCACTCACACAGTCACTCACTCTCTCTCACTCACACAGTCACTCACTCACTCTCTCTCTCTCTCTCTCACACAGTCACTCACTCACTCTGTCACACACTCACTCACTCTCTCACTCACTCAAGTCACTCTCTCTCTCTCACTCAGTCACACACTCACTCACTCTCTCACACACTCAAGTCACTCTCTCACTCAGTCACTCTCTCACACAGCCTCACAGACACGCATGACAACAGTTTACTCAACCTGGTTTGGAGAGGAGAGGGGTGGGGGAGGAGGAGGGTGAGAGTGAGAGAGAGGATGGGGTGGGGTTGAGGTGTGGGGGTGGGGGGGGGGGGAGTATCAATCAACCCCCCACCCCCTCACTCCCTCCCAAATACACTCTTTAAGAAGGGAAGGTTTAACAAATGTTACTGGACATCAACTTTATTTCCCACCCCATCCCCCCCCCACCCCACCACCTCCACATCACTTCAAATTAAAGTTTTTTTTTCTCTCTCTCTTTACAAATTGTGTGGAAATGTGGCTTTGGGTTGGGTGAGCTGATTCAGGTAGAGTTACCTTTTTTTTTGGCTGCCTTTCCAGCCTCTCATGGGCGGCACTTGGCTCCAGGTTGGGGATGTGACTGGTTGACAGGGGAGGGGGATCCACCTCTTTAACACACACACACACACACCTCACACACACACACACCATCTCACACACACACACACACACACACCCAGACACGTAGCACCTGAGCAAGAAAAACAGGAGAGAAGTAAGAGCACTGGAGAGACAGGGGACGAATGCAGATGTTGACAAACACTGATCCACACACTAGAGAGAAAGGCAATGAAATTAAAAAACCTGGACCTGAAAAATAAATAAATGCATGAGCGTTAACGAGATGGAAGACTTTGCAATGAACTGTAACATTTAACAGGAAAAAAAGTCAATGCTGTTACCCATCCAGTCCATAAAATTATGTACATATTCTTAATAGTGAATTAATGTCTTGGCTATATCAAGTACAGGGGAAATTAGTTTACCAATTGTAAAATAGACCAATTCAGAACTGACCATAGGATTACCAAGGCATAAAATGTCACTTATTTCTCAGATCCCTCCAGAAAAAAAATAATGTGGTCACTCAATCCACGACCCTTTGTGGAACACTGCTGTGCGCAATTGACTACTGCGTTTCATCCACAAAACATAGTCACTATATTTTACAGTATATTCTGTGAAGCGCTTTGAGATATCTCAAAGACGTGATAAGGTGCTGTATCAAATGCAAGGATTATTATTATAGATCGCATTGCAGAGTATTGCTCTTAATACTAATCTTAATGACTATCAGTAATAGCGTGAGGTGCCGCTGCTTACACTCTGCAATGACTATAGCTACTGGAAGCAAAACACATCCATACATGAATTCAACCACTCCAAAAAATTTACTATAGACAGAATATATATTTTTAGAGAAACATGTTGGAGAGTTTTTAAAGCAGCAATTTAATCTCAAGATTCAGAATAATTATAAACCACTCGAATTCTGCTTTCATGTTTTATATCACCTGAATAATCCCAGGTTTAGATTCCAGCCTTCTGATCGCTCTCAGGTACTTATGGCAATTATAAACCCTCAAATAACGGAATGAGTAATAGATAGAATAAAAAGAAATACACACAATTTATTTAAGGAAAAGCTGGTCTGAAGCATCAAATGTAAAATATGTTTAACAGCTATATTTGTTATAATAATTGAATAATTGTCCTTGCATTTGATATAGTGCCTTTTCATGTCATTGATACATCTCAAAATGCTTCACAGGATATACTGTAAAGTGGTTTGAGGGCAAATCATGGCAACAAATTTGCACTTAGCAATGTCCCACAAACAGCCATGCAGTTAGTGACCAATTTTACTTGGGGGTTTATTGGCTAGGATACCGAAAGAAAAACTCCCTTCTCTTTTCGAATAGTGCCTTGAGATTTTTAACAGGAGACACCTCATTGTCTTCATAGATTGTCTTTAAATCCTACATGAAAACCTAACTTTTTGACCATGCCTGTAGCCCCACACTTCCCTTGCTTAGTGTGCAAACCTACCATTGTTCTATAGCTCAGTGGTTAGAGCACTCGCCTCTCAAGCAAAAGACCTGAGTTCTATTCCTGGCAGGGCAAAATGTTGGGTAAGTTTCCTTACTCCACACGCTTCTGTTTAGCTAGCAGTAAGTAGGAACCCAGTTGTTAATCGATTGACGGATCGCTTTTCCAGGGGTAATGAGTCCTTCAAAAAATAATAATAAATTGGTCACTCAATCCACGAGTGTTTGTGGGACACAGCTGTGCGCAATTGGCTGCTACATTTCGCCCACAAGTATACAGTCAATTCACTTTACAGTATATTCTGTGAAGACGTGAAAAGCGCTATATCAAATGCAAGGATTATTACTAGTATTACTGCCCATAGCACAGAGACAGCGCTTGTCAAAGTCACTTCTCTCTATCTGTGACTAGGGATCTCTCTGCCGCATTCGACACACTCGACCATGCCATCCTCCTTGATCGGTTCTCCTCCCTCATCTATCTTAGTGGGACAACACTCGTGTGGTTCGAGTCCTACTTAACTAACCGCTTCCAACGGCCACCTTCCCCCTCCCCCCGGGGTGGAGTCAGACCGTTAAGCGCTCTTAGACACTACCTTGCATGGAGGGAGCTATATAAGTGCAAGTTGTTGTTATTGTGAAGCACTTCAAGATTTTATCCTACTTGAAAGGTGCTATATAAATACAAGTTGTTGTTCTTTATTGATACAGGGGTAGATTTAAATTTCCTTCTGGCTTCAATGGAAAAAGATTTGGTTTGTCAAAACACCTTCCAGAGAAGAATAGGAATGAAAAGAAGAAAATAAATATTGGCAGAAAAAAGAAGATCCTGCTGTTCTCTGGCAGATATTAAATGGTCACTTGGGGTCCACCATCATGTCATATTTCCACACATTAATGGATAAAAAATCTGATCACCATCAGATTATAAACCACTGCACCAGGAGTAAAACACCCAGCAACAGTGTAAGACGTGTTTGGTGAAAGAAAGGGTGAACATACTTTTAAAGGAAACTTAAACCCATTTTTAAAAAGCCATTAAAATGGTTTGCCCATAAACTAAATCATCTGCCAGTGACCTGAGCTCCTGCAGTTGGATGGTTAGAAAATCACCTCATTACACTGATGGTTTCTCACCAAACTTAAGAGTATTAATCGAGGCTGAGAGTTAAACGTATGTTTTAGACTTTTTTTTGTTCTCTTTTGTCCATAGGTAGACTTCAGCGCCTTGGGACGTCCTCCCGACGTGAAAGGCGCTCTATAAATGGAATCTTGTTGTTGTTGTTCAGAGCAGACAGCCACAGGCGTCCTTGTCAAAACAGTCCCAATTAGTAGCAATCTTAGCTTTAACCTCCAACGTGCTCATTTTAACTGCAACCGGTGATACCAAATTTGAGGAGGGAGGGTTTGAAGGCCAACAACAATAACTTGGATTTAAATAGTGCACTTCACAAAGGATAAGATGAATAGCAATGTGAAAGAGAGCGAGACTTGGCAATGACTAAAAGCCAAGTTTTAAGTCTCTTATAAAAGGATGAGAAGAGCTCCATTAGAGAATGATAGTTTTGCACTAGAGGGAAAATAATCGGGGCAGTTCAGAAAGAGCAATGAAGGCAGGGATTGAGTGTGAGTCTGAGCATGAGCCTCATATCATTCAAAACAGTAAGAGCTGACAGTGAGGGTTGTGACACCAAGGTATGAAGAGTGAAAGAATTTACAGATAAAAATTTAATTTACCGATATAAAAAGATTCACACACATGCAAAAACAATCACACATATTGGTATTAGTGTAACATGACTGCTGAGAGTGAAATTAGTTTACAGAGATCAAAACGGAAATTCCCAAAAAATGAACCACAACTAAGACTAGAGCTAAAATACAGTGACATTCAGATTTAGTTAAGCTCCTCCTAAACGTATTGATTTTGAAGGACTAACAGAGAGACGGGAGGCAGGGCAAGGAAGACAAAGGAGAAAATGGAGTAGGAAACAGGGGATAATGGGTTAAAGAGGAGTTAATGATGCAAAACAAAGGGCGGTGGGGGAGGGGGAGCTGTTTGACCATAACAGCTCACCTTCCCCCTCCTCCTCTTCTGTGACCATTACCACATCATCTGGGTCCCAGGCACACCTTTTCTTCCTCTGGTCTGCCTGTTTTGTTGCAATTTTCCTTCCGTTTGTTTTGCATTATTAACCTTTCCAACATGCTCCAGTTCTGATGAAGGGTTGTGGACCCGAAAGGTTGACCTCACTTTCCTTTCTCCATAGATGCTGCCTGAGCTGCTGAGTGTTCCCAGCAACTTCTGTTTTTGTTTCAGATTTCCAGCATCTGCAGTATTTTGCGTTTTGTTCATACTGTAAAGTGAATTGACTGTATATTTGTGGGCAAAACGCGGCAGAGAATTGCACACAGCAGTCTCCCACAAACAATCATGGATTGAAGTGACCAATTTTTTTTCTTGAGGGATTCTTATCAGGTGTGTGGAGTAAGAATACTTGCCCAAGATTTCACCCAGCTGGGAATCTTTCGTAACCATCCTCTCTTTATTTAATGTGTCCGTTCCACAATTTACAAATAAAAAAGAGACACCAGAAAGCCACTGGCATGCCAAGGTAACATTTCATATTAAGTGGAGAATAATAATAATTCTTTGAAATAACCCCTTATCACGTTGTGAAAACATCTCAAAATATTCATAAAGTTAAATTGTAGTGACTGTGTATTTGTATATACACCGCCACCCCTACATCACCTTTCCCACATGACCCATCTGCCCCTAAACTCCTTCGACCCTATCTCTCCTTCCTCCCTCACTGCCATCGTTCACAAACTCAAACCCACCACCTGCTCCCTCGATCCCATCCCCACCTCTCTCCTCAT